CTGACTGATATGTTATTTTAAGTACAATGACCTAAAAGCGAACCATAATTAACACCATAGGGATAAAAAAAAATAATTTAGGTAACGGGTTTCAAAAGGATTGATTCTAAAAGCTCTCTCTTTGACCAACTGACCCCCTTAAACGTCTTCGTGTTCCGCTCAGCTCAGGTGGTGGGTGGGCTGCCTACCGTCCAGGCGCCCTCCACCTCTGGCCAACAGCTGCAGGGGGCGGCGGGCTCGCGCGGCCTTCGCCATCGGAACAGAGGTGACGGAGGCAGCCCGGACCCGCTCGGCGGCGCAGAGGACGGCCGCCACCGAGACCATCGCGCCCATGAGCACGAGCGGTGGCAGCACGGGAAGCAGCTCCAGGGGGGCGAACTCTCCGCCCGCGTTCCGGTCGCACGAGGGCCGTCGCTGTCGCCACACGATCCTCTCCCGGTGCGCGATGCCGCGCTCTACCTGGAGTATCGTCCTGCGCAGGACGAGGAGAGGCCCCGTGAGCAGCTGCCGCAGAGGCTGCCACTGCACGCTGCACCCGGCTGCACCACGCTGCAGACACACTCACCCGGAGTGCATCATCTCTTTGAAGGGGGCGTTCCTGGCCGTGCCCAGCGCGATGACCAGCGGCATGTCCACGTCGAGTTGCTGCAGGCGGCACGTCTCCTGCCGGGTCATGGAGGCGGCGGCCTCGTCCACCACGTCATCCGAGGCTACGAGCCCCACCCGGGGCCTCCGCAGCGCCGCCATGGCGTCGGCCGTCCCCAGGAAGCCCAGCCCCCGCGGCGGCTCCACCTTGCGGTGGAACAGCTCGCGCACCAGTGGGTCGGTCGAGTTCTGAACGGACAGTAGGTGGTTGTTGGTGGCTCGTGACGCGGCCTGGCCATCCCCTGCGGGGCCCCCTGTAGGCCCACCTGCAGCACGCGCGCCGTGTGGATCCAGCCGTGACATGCCACCTTGTAGGGGGACTCGACGAGGTCGCGCACGCTGCGGATGCTGCTGGGTGGCGGCCGGAGGAGGAACGTGACGATGGACGCGTTGTAGTAGGCCTGCGTCAGGAGGAAGAAGGCCTCGAAGGTGGCGAGCAGCGCGCGCCCCGAGACCCAGTCCCCGCACGCGAGGAAGCCTGCCCCGTCGGGGAGGCCGTGGTGGTGAGCGGGAACAACGGGAGCGCAGAACATTTATTGGGGCCAAAAGTCTTCGGGGTGGGGGCGAGGGGGAATCACATGGTTTCTCATGGAGGCCCACCCTATGGAGCCGCATCCCGTGGACCAGGCTGCGGCCGGGGTGCGACCTTACCGACCTTGCCCGGTGAGCGTGCCGAAGCAGCTGATGAGCACGTCTGACCAGGAGGCACCCCCGTGCTCCGGGTCCGTGTGCTCCAGCGCGCGGAAGCACTTCTCCAGCAGGGCCACGACCACGGACAGGCCGATCACGGCCACCCACAGCCACGGCTGGAAGGGTTTGACCACGGCGTCCGCCGATCCCAGCGCCGTGTTGGTCAGAAAGCCGCACACGGTCCTGGGGGAGGGAGAGAGAGAGATAACCGCCGCGTGGAGCTAGCGCACTGGGCGGGAGGGAAACACGGCGAGTCTGGACCTCACGCTCCTGGGGGTGGGCGAAGTGGTGGGGCCTAGCTCAGTGGAGGGGCGCGCCGCGGCACGGCCGTGGGGTGAGTGAAGGGTGGTGGCGCGGTGGGGTGGCCTGTCGCCCCTCGCGTTGGCGACCTCCTCGGCTCTGCTGCGCGCCGGGCAGCGAGGGGGATGCCGGACTAACCACCTCGTACCTGCCCAGGCCCACACCCCTGCGTGGGGCCCGCGACGCAGCAGGCCCCCTGTGCTCCCCCCGGGTCGATAGGCAAGCCCGTCTGCCGGGGGCCCCAGCCAGGCCCAGCGCTCTGCCGGCTGTCTCCTCTCGCTCTCAGGCGCGCGCGCCTAGCGCAGCTCCCGGCGCCACCCAAACGCACCTCAGCGTCCAGGAGGTGGCCGAGAAGACCATGGGCCGACCCCGATCCGCGGTGATGATGCACCCCGGCCAGATGTCGGCCTCCCCGCGCTCCACCAAGCCCATCGTGCCGTCGAAGGGCGTGCCCGGGTCTGCGTTCAGCTGGCCCGGCTTCGTTCTAGCTATCCGCTTGATCACGCTGCATAGACAGAGAAAAACAAACGCAGAAACGGTGGCAGTCCGAGGTTTCATTCGTCGACATCGTGTCCGCATGACGTCACATTGAACAAAAAGTAGAATTAATTCAGAGACAAATTAATGCTGTGCAAATAGGGTCAGGTCGGGTAATAAATGCACACTCGATTTCGAACCACTTCCCTTCCGTTTTGAGGTACCTTCCGTACATCCCATGGAGTGCGTCGGGTTACTCGTTACTCACGTCATGTTGAAGCGAGCGACGATGTTCATGAAGACGATGTGGGCGTGCATGGCGAGCGGGGTGAGCAGTGGCATGGCCTCGGCGCGCGGCATCTCCAGCAGGCGCGCCATCACGACCTCGCCCACCTGCTGCCACATCTGTGCGCCGGAGGCCGGAGCTGAGAGTCGGAAACGGAAATACATCCGGGGGAGGCGAACCCACACGTGACGTGAGGTCTTACGTAGATGGCCTCCCTGACGGTGACTCCCGGCACGTGCATGCGCCTGAAGGCGATCCCCAAGTGCCACTCGCCCTCCACGGTGCCGTGGGCGCGGTCCCGGGTGGGCATCGAAGTAGACCAGAAACCCACACGCTCCAGACGCGCGTCGACGCTGCCGGAGGGCCGAAACAGCTCCAGGAGCTCCCACCTGAAGGGCGGAACACGGCACATTCACATGTAAAACTATCCCACTCATATTTCAGTGAATACTATTTTCCGAATGTCACTACGCGTCCCTTGAGGCTGACAGAGGTCGCGCCACTGTGACCTCACTGTCGAGTCGGAGTCCCGGCTCAAACGCCGACCAGGAAGGCGGGTCGACTAGGAGCCAGAAGTAGCTGCCGTTCAAGGTGCTGGCATCGACGTCCTGCGGGGGAAACACCATCAGCCGCCGTGAGTGTCAGGGGCGAGCGCGCCTGCGGCGAGCCGGGTAGGCCGGTCTGTCGAGCAGCCGAGCGCGGCGGGCTGGCCTACCCACCAGGCGCTCCCCGAGGCTCGGGCGGCAGGACCACACTAGCACGCCCAGGACGGGCGGCCGCTGCAGCGCCGGCGTGGCGAGGTGCGGTGCGGTGGTCTGCGCCTGCACGGCCTGCACCTGGAGCCGGCCGTCGGCCGCCAGCGCCCGCGTCAGGCTGGTGCGACCTGGGGCAGTCAAGGGGCACGATGCCACCGCTTGCCCACCACACGGGATGCTGGACTTGAGCCCCGGCCCATCTGAGCCCGCATGGTACTCCTACTCCCTAGACTAGACTCATATTGGGCACTGGTGTGGCGTACAGTGGTCCGGGCTCAAGTCCAGCGCCCCTACGACAAGCCCCACATGCCGTCTCGTGATCGCTCACCGGGCTCGCAGACGCCCATCACCACCTGCACGACGCCCCTGCTCGCAAAGAAGTCGGCCGCCAAACGGGCCACCGTCGCCGTCGAGTGCTGGACTGGCTGGACTTGGCCCTGTCCGTGTGCCAAGGCCGACGCGACGACCGCCACGGCGACCAGCAGACGGCGCCGCGATGGGGAGCCCCCGCGGGGCGGAGCAACGCGCGGCGCGGACATCCTTTTCTGCGCCATCTGGGCCAGCGCGACAAGGGGCGCGGAGTCCCGCGGGTAACGGAAGGGGCCATTACCAGTATTGTGGTCGCCTCTGTTAGTGATTCCCTCAGAGGGGACGCGCGGCCAGCTGCACGCAGAGCGTTCACGAGCCGCGCCGCCTCACGCACAGGGCGGCCAGGGCCACGCCGGGGCGGAGGCGGCGGGGGCGGCG